GAGGAGGAGAAGAAGAGGAGGAGGAGGAGGTGGAAGATGACGAAGATGAGGAGTGGAGAAAGAAGAAGCAGCGCGCAGTAACGAAGGAGGAGGAAGAAGCAGCGCGCACTAAAGCTGGATTTCCGGGGGAGGAGGAAGAAGCAGCGCACACTAAAAAAAAAAAAAAAAAGGTTATGGCTAACGAAGGAGGAGGAGAGGAGGAGGAGAAGAAGAGGAGGAGGAGGTAGAAGGTGACGAAGATGAGGAGTGGAGGAAGAAGAAAACAAAGAGGAGGGAGGAGAAGAAGAGGAGGAGGAGGAGGAGGAAGGAAAGGATGCCGAAGAAGAGGGAGGAGAAGAGCAGGAGGAAGAGGAGGAGGAGGAAGAGGAAGAAGAAGAAGAAGAAGAACCAAACCTTGAAGCAGAGGGCGCGCCGTACTCGTCGGCCCTTGGGTGGAGGAGGAGGGGTTGCAACGGTGCGACCACGAAGCAATGGCGATCCTGGATGACGATGACAACGCTGCTCGATGCTGCGGGGCGTTGGACGACGCCGACGCTCGTTGAAGTTCGCGCGGGCGGGAGGGCTCGTCGAAGTTAGTGCGGGGGGGAGGGCTCGCCAAGTTCGCGTCAAAGTTTGAATTCGGCGGGGGAGGGGTTGCCAAGTTCACGCGCTGAAAGCACCAGCGCGAAGTTGAAAAAAAGGGCCAATCTTGGCCGCCGATCTGAGACGATCGACGGCCAAGATTGGCCCCTTTTTCAAACAACAAAACGAAGGGCCTGATGGACCCGGTTTCCAAGTTCCGGGTCACGGCCTGCCCCCCACGCGCCAGTCAAAAAAAGACCCCGCCGCCAAAAAAAAAATTTAAGGTCCCAGCGAAAATGCGCTGGGGGCAACCAGGTGTGAACCGGCCCGGGGCACCGCCCGGTCCAACCGGGTGGACTCCGGTAGGGGGAGTGCCCCCCGGTCCATCCGGCGACCAGCACTGGTTCCAAGTTCATTAATGATGCAAAACCAAATTTGAGTCAAGGACAAGAATTGCCACAAGGAGAGATGGAAATAGAGAAGAGGACAAGGTAGAGAATATGTCAAAGAAGTAGGCGGTCTTCACATGATGCGAAAAGGATCAAGATACCCCAATAAATCACACTTTGGCAATCATGAAGAGAGAATCACTCGAAAGGACTAGACATTAAAAATTGGTGATGAAACAAAATGACTCCGTGTCTCCACCACCCCAGTGATGAAAGAAAGAACTCAAAATGACTGCGTATCTCCAAGACCCTGTGTGATCTGGCTATGCATAATGTTAGTCTCTTCAGACTATAGCAGGTCCTTAAGCAAAATAAAGATCACACCAGCTACCGACAGAATGCCCCCTAAGCTTTAACACTGGTTCCCTAGAGTGGACTCATCAGGGGAACTTTCAGCTCAACTTTCGCACCTTCGAAGCTCCAATGAAGGGAAGGGTTTGTTTTCCTTAACCTCCTATGAGGAAACTGTTAAGTAAACTGTGAGAACAGGGATTTTGAAAAGGAGACCTTATACCACGGCAAAAAGTGGAGTAGTCCCCCGGTTTTCCACTTATTCACATGGCTCCAGACCGGGATGTGGTGCTCACACGACCCTGGTTTAGGGGCGCCGCAGCGACTCGTTGCTCCCCAAACTCACCAGACCGCATCCCGTTTGTAGCGAGATGATTGCATAATTGACAAAGAAGAAAGATAACTTATGCTCCTCACTGTTTCAGTTAGCCAGAGGAATCAATGATCACACTAGGCCACCAGCTGGCCCGCCCGGGTCACCCTGTTTTCCCATGTGGTCTGGCCGTGCAAGGATCAGGGAAGGTCCCAGCAAAAAAAAAGAAAAAAAAAAATGTTATGCAGAAACATAAACTGAACAATGTTTGCCTCAGGGTTACATCGAAATTCGTGACCAGATTTGAGATAAAAATTAAAATTAAAAAAATGATGTTTTAAATTTTTTTTTTTTTTTTCTTGGCCCGGCCAGGCAAGTGGTCCTGGGCCACTCTGGTAGCCTAGTGATCACATAAATCCAGTTGATTTTAAATTCACATTATTTAAGGGTTCAGTCCAGATGTCGGAACATCCGTTAAAATTGGAACGATACAGAGAACATTAGCATGGCCCCTGTGCAAGGATGGCAAGCATAAATTGAGAAATCGTCCAAATTAAACAAGCTAAGTATTCCCTCAAGTGCACCCTGCTTCCTACTTACTGCCCCAAGCCTCTGCCAGTCTTTCTTTTCTGAAGTCGTCCTCTCGCCTGACTTTCGACTCTCACAAAGTCACTAATGCGAAAGAGGAAGACAAGGAAGGTATAAAACAAAAGAGGGGAAAAAAAGGCAAATAAACAGCTAAATACATAGTGCTCGTAAACAAACCTGACGTGAAGCAGTGGGGGGATCCTGGATGCAACTAGCTGCAAGCACAACCAAATTTGAATGCACCTGACTGCAGCCACGACGAGACTCGGTCATAAAGGTCCTATTGTCATTCGTGTGACATGCACGAAGGCGAATACCCTTGTAGTGGTATTTGTTTCAACAACATTCGTCTTGGAGACATCCAAGAAGACCGGGTCGTGAGGAGATCTTCCTTTGCTCTTCCTTTAGAAGGTCAGACATATATGTTCTTGTTTGCAATATGGCAGTTCACTTAGGGAGGGGATTTGAACATCAGTATGGGCATGACCAACAGTCAATCCTCCGTTCTTGGGAAAAATCAATGCTGCTGATGGTTCATCTGGCCGTAACGAGAGGGAACATGGTTGGTTCATCTGGATGTACTTTATGACTTGCTGGGGGAAATGAACCAGACTGCTGCTCACCAGAATAGAATGAAGGCAGGAACAAAAGGACATATTTTGAAAGAAAAACACGAAAACAACTCGTGGCCAGATGTTGCCTTGTACATCCGAAACATGTGTTGTCTCTGGCTGAAGTGTGCAACAACGAACCCCATTCAATCCTGCATGTTCCCCATCCCTTCTTTGGGGCCTCACCTTGCTTTCACCTGACCCACCTTTCTGTATTCGAGGATGCCCAAACACTGTTATGTTACTCCACTGGTAACTTCTTGTGTTAGAAGTGAATTCTGAGTGTCCATGCTGTGCTGATCGAACATTGCTTACACAATTTTAACTGGTGTGGGGCAAACACTTAAAAACCAAGTATGAATTAATGTTCCTCGATTTTGGCTGCTTTGTGCAGGGATAACATTCCACTTGCCATTTGGCGGATTGATAACTCAGTGGGGACTTTTTTTGCTACAACGGGTTTCAGTTCGGCTCCCCGCTCAGTGGCACGAGATGTGAGTGAAGTCCTGCGATTCCGCAGGATGTTTGGTTTGGAGGGAGGCAGGCCAAACGAGAATGAGGGGCAGACGACACCTGGTGAAAAGGTCCCATCCAGTGGGCCCAGGCTTGATTCTCTGTTGCATACTGAGCTTTACACAAGTGTCGGGAAGTTTGATAGAGTGTGGTGGAACCAGGGCGGAGAGTCAAGAAGACCCGTATCAGTCTGGCGACCATCACCACCCCCTGGTTATTGCAGCCTTGGTGACATCGCTGTCAAAGGGTAAATTAAATTTGAAACCCACTTGGGGCTGCCTCTAGATTTGAAGGCTGTGAAGAAGCTTCTCAGAAGTTCTAGTTGGGCATATGGGTTACAGCCTGCATGTGTGAATCATGGACTGGCCTGCATTGGGTTTCTTCCTTAGTCCTCCCTCTCTCGCTCTGTCTTGCTCGCCTCCTTTGCATTTTTTCCGGTAGTTCATTTCAGCTGAGTGGTCGGTCGGTTTTCTGTTAGGACCTATATCAGGAAGCATGCCGACATCCTAATGTTCATCCTGGCTGCAATTGGATGATTGCTATATGGTAGACGAGGAAATGAAAATGGTGATGTCAACTGTGCTGTGCATATTTTGTGCTGTACACAAACCATGCTGATGAAGCGGGCAAAGTTGCACACATTGCGCATGAGAAGAGAAGACAAGGAGACACTCAGGGGGGCACAGGGCGGGGAAGTTGAAAAAGGGGGCAGATGGAGGAAAAGAGAGGGAAAGCTCAAACAGGTCATTCTATTCTTTCTCTATGCTCTTTTCTCCTGTAGCCTCTAGCGGATGTGTCTGCCAGATCCGGGACGCGATCTGTAGCTGAATTGTGCTCAAGACATACTTCCGACAGTCCCTTGTCTAAGTCCTTTGTGTGCAGAATGGAATCCATTACCCCGCGTTGGCATAGAGTCAGCTGAAATGTGTTAGTGATCAAGTGCCGAAAAATAATGGAATGGGCCGATGCCTGTCGGCTTAATAGAGCCCTTCAGACTAGCTGAGATAAAAAAAGCACTATATGCCTGATGCCAATACATAATGCTGGACTTCTGTTGCGCTTGGATAGGAAAACTGTTGCTTTTGTCGTAGGGGTTCATGAGAGATCTCTCTGTGATAAGACTGTGAATCAGAAGGGCCTCTTCCCACACTGCAATTTCCAATCCAGAGCTTCCTTCTGGCATTCTATGTAGGTTCCTGATCATAGCGCTTTGTTAACTGTCCGGTCAGTAGACTGTGATTATTCGAAAGCATTCCTTGTCCTCGTCCATTCTGGAGAGCGTCAGTTCGGTTCCTATTCCCCGGGCAAGTCAAAGAGTTGGATACAAATACATACTCATGTCTCCTTCCGTATGGCCGAACGACCCCTGACCAGCATTGATTGCTCCTACGTAAGGATGATAAACTGTCAGCTTGCCCTTGTCGCGTATTCCTCTCAGGATCCCCGTGGGGGCCTGTCTGTTAGAACTTGACATAACAAGAAACATGAAATCTAAAATGTGTCATCTTCCGTTCCTCTTCATCTTGGATGGTCCCCACAATCTGAATTTTGTGTGCCACCATCAACTTTGTGTGGAGGATCACGGCCGCTCTTTTGGACTGAGCCCAGAAAACCTGCTGGACCCACCTAAGTTTCTTAGTCATGTCATCAGAATTTTGAAAAGCTTCAGTTTATTGATTGGATCAATATTGCATCTTGATATCCGCCGCTGTGTCCTCGTTTTTGTGGTTTGTAGTTACGAGCCTCCGGCTTGTGGATTGGCCATCCTGGATGACGACTCTGGCATAGTTGCAAGGCCAGAGCGGTTCATTCTGAGGGCAAGGTTACAGGGGAAAAAGGAGGCATCTGTATGGTATCCCAGAGCTCCACAGGGATATGTGGCACTTGGATGCATTGTCGTGCAAGGATTCTATCCACCATCTCCAGATATAGTGAGATGTGTACGGCAGGACCTTGTTGATCTGGCAAGCTACGATGAGAGCCCCATCTGGACCAGCAAGGCAAGCAAGAGGGGACCTTATATCAGCTTCTGGAAAGTACAGAACCAGGTGAGATGATGCTTTGGGTATTGAAAACTATGGTGTGTCAGGACCATGCTGCTCAACGCGAATCTAGGATGACTTCCTTCCTTTCTTAACAACTGTCAAGTGAAATATGTTTTTTTCCTTCGCCGGGTCTGCACTCCAGACGGCTGAACTCCACAACTTGTGTGAATTGCTGTCCCTTGTCTGATTGTTGTACTTTGTGTATAACTGTGGTATATTGTTGACATGTTTTTCAATGCGGGCCAGCCCAAAATCTCAGAGAGTGAGCTTAATATACATCTGCATGCTGATGTGGGCACATGTGTCCAATCATTCACCATCATGGGCACGGGCCTTCATTTTCTTGTATTCATCTAGGCTACCAGCCGGGCCGCCCGGGTCACCTTGTTTCCCCGGGCTGCCCGGCCATGCAAGGGCCATAGAAGGTCCCAGAAAAAAAAAAAAGGAAAAAAAAAAAAAGGAAAAAAAAAACAGAAGTTAAAAAAACTGAAAAAAAGGGTTATGTAGAAAAATAAACTGAAACAAGGGACCCGCCGCGGCTCCGCCCACGGCAGAGTAGGAGGCAGGAGGAAGAAGCGGGAGGCCGAGGCGCGAAGAAGGGAGGGGTGGATGTGAGGGATGTGTCCACAACCCCGATATTCACCCACCAAACCTCCCTCGTCCACGTCTCCATGTCACCTTCCCCCCCCTCCCCCCTCCCCCCGATCTCGATTCCCTCCCCCTTGCCTCGATCTCGATTCCTCTCCCCCCAGAAAAATTCCCATGAGAAATGAAAGTTGAAAAAACATTCCA